AGAACCTTCAAATATGTTTAGAGGCATTTTGCTTATAAGCCTCAGCCTAAAATGTTATTAAGTCCTTTTCTTGAAGAATGACCATCTAGTATTATTGTTATTTTCAAGTTAATGTTAATGGAGTATATTTCACATGGAATAAGTGAAAGTGAAGTTAAATGAATAACTTGATATAACTATTAACATAAGAACTTCAGTTACTGCTTTATGTTAACTCTTAACAGCTGTTTAACATAGCTGTTAGAAACAGCTCAAAAACTACATAACAGTGCTGGAAAGCGTGGACACAAACCATATGCATAATGTACACTTAATTCATTGCAGCATAATGTCGATTTAAACATATATATATTGATTGCATTTATATATATCAAAACTAACCCATCTCCTTAATCGCCACAGTACACTGAAACGCAATCAATTGGATGTTATGCCCATGTTTGTGGGTCTTACTGCATTGCGGCAACTCAATTTGGCCAACAATCGCATACAGCGCATCTCGAGCGGAGCGCTGGCGCTGCTGCCCAAACTCAAATCGCTGGATCTGAGCAAGAATCAGCTGCACAGCGTCGAGGCCAATGTGTTCCCCAGGCCCAATCGACTGGCGCACTTGTGAGTTACAAACCGATAATACCCCATTAGAACTCTTAATTAATGCCAACAACCATTTGCATTTACAGAATACTCAACTCCAATGAGATAGCCAGCGTGGATGAGCTGGCATTTGCGGCATTGAGCAATCTAACGGATCTGGAGCTGAGCAACAATCGTTTGAGCAGCCTGCCGGTGGGCGTGTTCAAGAATTTGAATCGCCTGAAAAAGCTGTAAGTTCTGACTGCGATTATTATTAAAATTGTCCTAACATTGTTTGCATTTGGCTTGCAGCGCACTCAACTACAATCAGCTGGAGATCAATTGGTCCACATTTCGTGGCCTGCTATCGCTGCAGAAGCTGCAGCTGAAGGCGAACAACATTAAGATGCTGCAGGATGGCGTCTTTCATGTGATGCGCAGCATTGAGAGCATCGAGCTGGATCACAATGGCATCAGTTCGCTCTCCCGCCAGGGTCTGTTCAATTTGACCAAGCTGCATCATCTCAGTTTGTCCAATAATTCCATTACACGCATCGAACTGGACACTTGGGAGTTTACGCAATCTCTGGAATCGCTGGACTTGTCGCATAACTTTATTAGCGAGTTCAAGGCACAGCATTTGGAGTGTCTTAAGCGTTTGAAGACTCTGAATTTGGCGCACAATAAGCTGCAGTATTTGCCGGAGAATACGTTTGACTGTGTCAAGAATCTGGAGGAACTGAATTTGCGTCGCAATCGTCTCGCCTGGATCATTGAGGATCAGTCGGCTGTGCCGCCATTTAAAGCGCTACGCAAACTGCGCCAGCTCGATCTCAATGGCAATTATCTGAAGCAGATAAGCAGCAAGGCTCTCAGCGGTCTCATTAATCTGGAGCTGCTCAATCTGGGCGGCAATGCTCTGGCCAGCATACAGCCGAATGCCTTCGAGCATATGCAGAACCTACAGAAGCTCGTCTTCAAGTCGGACAATTTTATATGCGATTGCGAACTGCTGTGGTTCCGTCAGTGGCTGCGCAGCCGCTTCGCCAAGCAGGCTCAGCAGCTGCTCGCGAACGTGGTCTGCGGATATCCGGATCAGCTGCTCGATCGTCAGCTGTTCAATCTAACCGAAAAGGAACTGGTCTGCTGTACGTTTTAACTATTTCTGCACAATTCGAAAATGTTTTTATTTGAACCACAATGTTATTCTGCTTACAGCTGACTCACCCAAGCCGGTGGTGCAAAAAGAGCCAACCAATTTGCTGGCCGTGAAGGGCGCCAATATAACCTTGGAGTGCATAGCCAGCTCGCCAGCTGCCGCCTCTATAGCCGCCACCGATGAGCTGAAGATTAAGTGGCGCCACGACAATCAGCACGTGCTGGAGCATCAAAGCCTACACGATGGCGCCAGCACAGAAACCCAAATACATCACGATCAGCGCACCAATCAGACAACCATTTATGGCTATCTGCGTTTATCCAATGTCAGCTACGAGAGCGCCGGACGCTATCAGTGCGTGGTATCCAATGCATTTGGCACGACCTACGCACAGAAGTTCAAAATATCCATAGGCAGTGAGTAGCTGAATTCCATCTCGTTAGATAGATTATCGCTAACCATATTCCGTGCTTTCAGTTCATCCCAGCTTTTTGCATGTGCCCTCAAATCTAACGCTGGACGCCGGAGAAACAGCCCGTCTGGTCTGCTCCGCCAGCGGTGATCCAATGCCGGAGATAGCATTGCAAAAGTTTGGCGCTAGGGATTTTCCGGCAGCCACAGAGCGTCGCTTGCAGGTGATACGCGAGGAGAACGCGTTTATCATCACGAATGCCAAGCCCAGCGATTCGGGCATATATACCTGCACAGCAGAGAGTCCGGCCGGTGTGATCAAAGTGAATGCTACGCTGCTTGTGAATGGTAAGTTCAAAGCTGTGGCTGCACAGCCAGAAAAGATTTTACCCTAATATACATTTACGTCGTATACAGACAAGCCGCTGCCTAGCATACCGCTGGTGCACAAGGAGGTGGTGCTGGGACGCACCTGTGTGCTGGAGTGCCTCAGCGAAACGATTAACATGGAGCTGGAGCAGCAGCATCGCGAGTGGTACAAGGAGAACAAACCGTTGCATAATTCACCCACTGGGCCCGATGCGGAACGCTTTTACTTTACCAAGAACAAGGAGGTGCTGGTCATCGTGAATGCCCAGTCGCATGATGCCGGCCATTATCGCTGCGATATCAGTGACAATTTGCGCACTCTAACGTTGCAGTCGGAGTTATTGGTGGTGCAGGATAGCTACAATATTGATGTAGTGCTATGGTCTGTGGTGCATGTTACGATTTGCTGTGCCCTGATTGGCATTTGCATCGTTTGGAGCACTTTGCGCTATCAGCGCCGCAAGCAGTCGCATGGCAGCAATCAGAATACACTGGAACAGACGCAGCTAACGACACTGAATCTTTCCCAGCTGCGACCATATCAATCGCAGCTGGTCATCGACGGACTGGCCAGCGCGCAGAAGCAACAGCAACAGCAGCGCCAGCAACAACAACAACAGCAACAGCCGCAAACTCAGCTGCGTCCGCGCAGCTTGGCGGATTTGGGCGCCGGCGAGGCACAGACGCACAGTCGCCTGATTGTAACCACAACGCCTTCGTATGAGCAGCGCTGTCTGGAGGAGCGCCTGACGCTCAGCTTTCTGCAGCAGGCGGATCTCGAGCTGCAACAGGATCATTTATCCAGCAAGGATTCCGGCACTGGCTCGGATGCGGCGGTTAAGCGTAGCCTCGAGGATTTTGTGGTGGCCATGCCGCTGCGCCAGCCGCGACATCACCTTCTGCATGAGGATGATGATGTGGATGATGACGATGTGGACGAAGCGGATGACGATAATGATTTGCAGTTTGCGCCGACACGTGCGCTCGGCGTCTCCGTGTACGACGACATGGAACTCTACGAGCTGAATCACAGCGCTGCCGAGCAGCAGCGCTTCCTGCGCAACAACAATCACAACTACGATGGTGGGGGCGCGGGCGTGGCAAATGGTGGTGTAGCCACGCAGCTGACGCCGCCGGCGGTGCCGCGCAAATGCAGCGCACAGCTGAGCGGCGCCAGCGTTGACTACAAAGCAGCCAACGCGGTGGACATTTAAGTTTGAGCCAAAGCCAAGACATATGCAAATAAAACCAAAATGCACACACCAAAAAAAAAAAAAAAAACTACAACTGGGGAGATGGGCTGCCCTTGCCACGCCCCCTACCTTAAAACCAAAACCACCCGCCACCCAAAAACTAAGAAGAAGAAAACCTAACAAACGAACAAAGACTGTTACTCGTAATAAAATTAAATATAATAATATATGACGACGCTTGCCATCAGGCGGCCTTAAAGAGTATATATGCAACTGTCGCAGCACAGATATATATATATTATATATATATGCATGCTGTATATATATTATATACATACCAGTGTCTTCGTAATTTATGAAATTTAATGGATTTATTATTACTTTACTTTAAATTAAAACATAATTAAATATTACTCTAGTATCTAAGCATATATATAAATTTATAATTTGTAATTGTTTATTTCGCTTGTGATATTATTTATTATTATATTTTGATCGCTTAAACATTTGCAGCTGTATATATATGGCACCTGTTACCAATTAGTATCTAGTTTTAGTTGTAGCTCCTAAGTCCCAATTGCCACGAAATCGGCTATGAATTGCTAAAATATGGTATATTGCCTGAATGCGTTTATATATACAAACACATACACAACTATTTAAGTCTGTTTTATGTTGCTACTATTTCAAATTTGATATATGTTTATGTGAATTGATTTGCCTTATGCTTATGGCCTTGACTATATATATATATATATAGTATTTGAAAAATCTAGAATCGTAAGTGATACATTTTTGAAGCAAAATGAAGTCAACAAATTCTAATAAAATTCAAGTTTATAAAATTTAAATCATTTCAATTGTAAAACAATTTCACTTTTTACTAACTTTTGATCTAAGGGCAAGGTTCAAATTCTAATTTTCTTTTTATGCGATCTTTTTTGTGCTGATCCCCAAAACAAAAGCTTGAGATCGACAAGGTAGAATCTTAATTAAGCCTTTGCTTAGCCCAGTTTTTAATTTATTTAATTGAAAAGAAGCTTAAGGCACATTTTTTCAAATGAGTGAAAACAGTCGAAGCATGTGCATAAATGCTCTATAAAACTAAATTTAAGGACATAAATCTTTGAATTCATGAAAGTCTTAAATCTATAACTAAAAATTGTAAATTCGATCTGCATATTCACGTACTAGAGCGAGTTTCTTCTGTAAATCTTGGCAACCAAATAGTAAGTTCCATGCTAATGAAATCCTGCTACCCTTAGGAACTGAGTTCCTCCTATATAACATGTATATATGGAAGATATGGTAAGCACATACATTTATTACATGTTCTCTCCTACTTATTTGTGCCTTAGCATAGGCTTTAGCTAATTGGAATAAACACAAAGACTTGGCATAAATGCTAATAACATGCAAAGGTCAGTTGGAATCCTCAGAGCTGTCACTGTATGCAGCCAAAAGGGATAAACCAGCGGGTGCTGCTGCCGGTTTAGGCGTCACTGCTGCGGATGCGGCTGCCGTAGCTGTTCCAGTTGCAGTTGTATTTGCTGTTCCTGCTGCAGGCTTTGGTTTCACCAGCACCAGAGGCGTCTTGCGTTTTACTAGCTGAGCGCCAGCCGTGGCTTTGCTGGGCGCTGACGCAGTGCTGGGCTTGGCGAATTTGGCTGCTGGTGGCGCTGGCAATGCTGTATCCTCCTCCTTCAGCTCTTCGATAATTTCCTCAGTGACAATGCGCGTGCCGCTGCTCTCCGCCTTGTTTTTAAAGTTCACAGATCTTACAAATTTAAATGAATTGTTTAGTTGATCATATAAATGGGTTAGCTGAAGACTCACTTGACAAACTCCTCGTCTTCGCGTTCCTCGCGCTCCTGGCGTTCACGTTCCGTTTCCGCTGGATTATACTGCTCCAGCATGGTCGTATAGTCCACAGTTTGCTGTCGTCTGTTCAAATCGCGCAGCTCCTCGAGACTCTCGAGCATTTCGATTTCGTTGCGCGACTGTTGCGTGCGATTCTCGAGCAATTTCATGGGATTGTTGGCCTCCTCCTCGCGTTCTTCACGCTCCTCGCGACGCGCCTGCTCCTCGGCCAGTTTCAATGCCATAAAATTGCGTGTGGCGCCCGCTTCGATCTCGTAGTCGGTGTTCTGTGGATCCGTTTTGAACGAGATCTCCTGCAGGCAGCGCGTGCACTTTATGTAGAATCTATAGATACGTATGCCCAAATACGTTTCATTCTCCACATCCTCTTTGCGCGCATTAAACTTCTTGCCCTTGTATATGTATTCCCCGCAAGTTTTGCAGCGCATATTAAACGGTGCCATCAATCGGACGGTGTATTGTCGATTTTTGGCCAATTTCATGCGCGGTATCTTCGATGGATCGAAGTCCGGCGGATAGTATTTCTATAAGGAATTCATGGTTAGTGCAGGGCACAGGCAATATATTTGCATCATTCTACTCACGTTTAACACTTTGCGCTCAGACATTTTGTTGATGCACTAATTAATCAACTTTGTAAATAAATGTTTTGTACTTCTTCCTACTAATTTGCCATTCACTCTTGCGGCAAAACGAGACGTGCCTGTCTTTTAATATCGATTGTTTTTCGATAGGCACGCAGCGAATTTAACGTTTTTCGATAACATATTCTATTGCGTGTTCAAATTCAAATTTTCCGTTAAGAAACTTGCGTATTTTAAGAAGCAACAAATGCCAAAACATATATAATTGCATTCCCAGCACCTTTAAAATTTGTTACATATATTTGTTTATTTTCACAGTACAATGCTTTAGCGATAGACATTTCTCTTTGGCTATTATTGCAGCTAAATTATATTTTTATAATACAATAAATACACACACACATACTTCGCAGAACACATGCATGATGTCAGTAAAATGCTCATAAAATCATATGGAACACTCGCCGTTGCCACCATTTGGCTGCTTGTAGCTGTTCCGCTCTGGCTGCTCGTACAACGAATCCAAATCCTTTGTTCGGCGTAGGCCCCCAAAACGTGAGGGTAGCTGAACTGTTGTTGAAAGTCCAGCGTCTTCGTGCAACTCCGGATCTGGTGTGTCCAGCACAGCCGCCTCTACACGGCTCAGATCGGTATCTGGAAAGCTGACCTTCTTTGTGGTGGGCAACGTTGGTATTGAATCCGTTTTGGTGCGTCCATCGAGCTTGAGTGCGGCACGTGGTATCTTGTGCTTGACCAGCTCATAGGTGCATCTGTACAGGAATGTGTACTGCTGTTGCGTTTGCACCATTTTCATGCGCTGCAATTTTAAAAGACCTCAAGACTTATACACAAGCTAAAGGGCATGAATTCTATTATTACCTGAAAGCGCAGTTTCTTGACTGTTTCAAAAATATTTATTTTCGATTCGCTCTTCAAACGCTGCATTATCAAATCCAGACCAATAAATGTGCCCGTCCGTCCGACACCGGCGCTGCAGTGCACCACAATGGGCGAGTAGTTTGGACGCTTCTCCGCTTTCACCTTCCTGACAATGGTAATCAAATGGTTGGGATCATCGGGACAGCCATGATCGGGCCACTTTTTAAAGAAGAAATGTATGACTTTCTCCTTGAGACCATATTTCTCGTGGACCACACAGAGCTCCGTGCGATCGTAGATCTCGAAAGATTCCTTTGACTTTATTGTGACGCTGACACCGCGCATATTATAGGGATAATACTCGTGGCATTTGATCTGCAAGGGATACTGAAATATTAGACAAAATTGTGGGAGTGGGCACTAAAGAGTTTCTCACAATGTTGCCTTCACGAAACTGGGTAACCTGCACAATGACGCGGACATTGTGCTGCAGAATCATGCGCCAGAAATCCATAACGCTCTCCGGCTTCGGACCCTGAGTCGCGATATACTCCTTTTTGCGGGTGTGACCCTAAAAGAAAGGTTTAATAAAGATAAATTGTTTCGAAGAGCTTTTAAAACGTACATCAATAAAGGACGCATTGATATAGTCCGATCCTTCACTATCTATGTCCAATATCACGCGATTCTTGTCATCTGGAATATACAAAACTGAATCTCTAAAGTTACCCAAATCTGGAGTCAACTTACATGGATATATATCCGCATAACGATTCTTATTGCTGCCCAATTCAGAGGCCGAATAGCTCAGCTCCAAGGCCACTACGGTAATTTCCTTGAACTCGCGCGTCAATTTCTCCGGCTTGGCCACGTCCGCATAAAATATGGCAAAGTTCTTGGCTATGACATTACCAAATGGATCTTCTATGCCCTGACCAGAGTCCCGATGCCAGGCTATACGCTTGCGCACCCAAAGCACAACCAAGCCCAAGATGAAGGCCAGCAGCAGGCAGCTGCAGACGCTGACCAGGATGAGCGTCACCTTGATGGCCGCATCCGTCCTGAACTCCAGTAGGGCGGCATCATTGTAGCCGGAGCTGGTGAACAGGCGCACCACCATGTTGTATTCGGTGTTAGCAGTGAGCGGGCCATTGCAATAGCGCTCGGTTACATCGGGACACTTGCCAACTCCAATGGTAAAGGTTATTTCCTCCTCGCTAATGTCGCGTCCGTTCTTTGCGACATGCGGCTGCCACTGGAGCGGCGTGGTTTGATACTGATAAATGCAATCGCTGCCCACCTCATCCCAGGATGCCACAGTGGGCCATTCGCCAGATTTGAGCACATCATGCTTCAGCTGCGGTTCACCAGCACAATTCTTCTGGGAAAGCAACAACGCTATATACGTTATGTTGCCCGACTCGGAGTTAACAATGTTGCCGGGCAGGCGCACAATTGCCGAACTGGTTGGATGATTTGTCTCATAGGCGCTGACGCGCATTTGACGCACCAGATCCTCGCCCAGAGCAGAGGGTACTAATTGGGTATAAATGCAAATAAATAGTTAAGTTTTAAGGCTAATTGCATATATCAGACTTTTTTCTTATTCGCGCCTTCAATTGACAGTGTTGGAAAATGGGCAGAAATTTGTTTTGCCAGCAGCAGTGCTGCAAAGTGCAGCACACAAGTAACTAAAATAATAACATGCAACATACAAAATACCAAAAGAAGACCAACAAGAAAAAGAGTGCCCGTAGTTCTTCAGCACCAACTGGCGGAAAAAAACTTCAGCTTACAGAACTTCACAAAAAATGGCGCGCATGGACTAGGACACAAATTGAGGCATTTTTAGTACGTTATGCTAAACGAAGATTAAAAATAAAGCGTTAAAGCCCAGTAAAGAGAAAGGCTTTACAACACTAATTGTCTCAAATGTGTGTGTAAAATATGATAATAGAAAAAAATTAAGCGCGCAATTTCTATATAAAAACGAAGGCACAAAAGTGAATATGTTGTGTGTCGAAACGGTTGGGTAAGTAAGTAAAATCCCATCCATACTTACGACCAGATGGCGATTTCCACTCCCTTTTTGCACTGTCGCTCAAAGTAGACACATTGCTCGTTTTAATGGCCACTTTTACGGTGTATTCAACTTCGGGCTGTAGATCTGTTTCGGTATATGACATGCGTCCCTTCATGTCGTGTCCGGCAGGCGGCACTTGTCGTTGGAATTTGATTTCCTGCTGTTTTCGTGTGCCACTAAATTCCAAGACGAACCACTCGATCCGACCATTCGACTTACAGGGTATGGTCCAGGCGACGGTCACATTGGCGCTATAATTGTCCGGATCCAGCCCGGGTCCCTCCGAGGTTACATTTAGATCCGTCACAGGATCCGACACTGTTATAGACAAATTGACATTTTTAGGTTAGGTTGAGTAAAATGGAATATCGCCTACCATCCGAGGCCGTAACACCTATAACTGGCGCCGTATAAGGGCCCAGACCGAAATCATTCTGTGCAGCCACTTGCATAATGTACTTGACGGCGGGCGCCAGATCATAGAAGGTATTGGTCATGTCGCCTAAGTGGATAAATTACATTTTAGGTTAGGTTGGGTTTTAGGGATTGCTGAAAGATGCAGCAGACAAACCCTTAGTATCGGTCTTTGGCAGCTCGGTTATAGCTTCGCATATGCTGGGCACAAAATAATCTGCTTCGTAGCGCATCAGAAATGCCTGGTAATACTTGATGAGTCCGTTCAGTAGTTTCGGCTGTTCCCAGGTGAAGGTCAAGCTGTGCTTGCTGCTGCTGGTTAACATAACGTTTCTGGGTTGTTCGGGAACTGCAATTGACTAGATGTGCTTAGTACCGAACTGAACAATAGCTCCATGCTGCCAGCACATACAATAGACCAAGGTTTCCAGCGTCAGGGACTTGACCTTCGAGGCGCCAGCCATATTGTGCAGCGACACACGGCAAACGTATTTCGTGTAGGGCGAGAGCGGCGCAAGAATTGCCTGAAAGCCTCTCTCGCGATAGCTCTCCACGTATTTCTCGGCATAGGTGTACGGCACATCCGAGTTGGCGGAGCAATTGAAGTGCGCAAAGAACGTCTGGCAATTGTTATTGAAATCCTTATTATAGGCAATCAGCTCCAGACTGTGCGATGTGGCGCCGTTGCCCACCAGTGCGAGATCAGTCTACAGAGGAGATATGTATATAAGGCACGGCCTTGCAGCCGTAATATATTGCTCAAACCTTGTCGCCGTTAACAACATCGGCCTGTGTTTCCACTTCGATTTGACGCAGCTCGCCATCCAGATTCTCGTGCGTGTAGGGTATTATTTGTATGGTATATGCCTGGCAGGCCATCAGATCCTTCTCGAATAGCACAGTATTATTTTGTGTGCTGACGCTCAAGGCGACAACCTCTGAGCCACCGTCCATCCAACCGGATATGCGATAGCCCTCGATGCACAGATCGGCGTAGCTCGGTATCTGCCAGTTCAACTGTATGGAAAAGGGTCCGGTGCTGCTGTGCGGCTCCAATATCTGTGTGGGCTCTATTGCCAGTATATAGGATTAACAACTAATGGATAGCTTTTGGGCTACTTACGATCCTCGCTGAGGGTGCTCTGACTCTGGAACTTGCCGCCCATGCTGCCGTTCGCCAAAAGCGGCACAATTTCCACATTGTATGTGCCGCAGGGCTCCAGTTGGGTGAAGAGCATGAAGGTCTCATTGGTCAGCTGCTCGCCACTCTCATATTCCAGGCGCTGTATGGGCCCAGCCAGATTCACACGATAATTGGCCACACACTGCGCATGATCGCTGGGCGGTGACCAGGACCAGCGCAGCTCCGTGGCATTGATCTCCTGCATGGGCTGCGACACAGCGCTGGGCACTGTTTGCGCATAGATTTAGTCGAAGCTTAGGCGTGCCAGCTGGTTCTACTTACTCTTCGCGCCGGACACAAACGTCTCGGTGGCCTTGGCCGTTGTATTGCGCTCCATATTGATGTAGACCTCGATGGTGTGCAGTGCGCAGCCTTGCAGCTCGGTAATGGTAAACTGTTTCAAGGTGCTGTCATTCGAGGTCTCGCTTCCGCCGCAATCCTCTGAAGAATACAATTGAGAGGTCGAGCAGTGTCGAGCCGGCAGCACTTACCTTTAGTCTCCGATTCCACGTCAGTATACGGCGGCACAGTCGTTGCGCCCGTCCAGTCATCCAAAAACGTGGTTGCTGTCGTCTCATCCTCCTGCTCTGTGGTTGCTGTGGTCGTCTCCGGCTCCTCATCCGATACGCAGCCGTTTCGCCGCCAGACAATGGTGAAGCTGCCTATGCAGCTCTTATTGTCCGGCTCGTTCCATGCGACCAGCGTGTCGCCATTGGAGCGATTGCTAATGGTTAGCTGCAGCTCGCCAGGCTCCAGATAGCCGGTGTCCACGAATCTCATATCGCTATCGACAATAACGCTCGCATTATTCCTCGTTTCCAGTGTGACATTGTAGGTGCGACAGGGCCACACTTCCTCAACGGTATCTTTGCTCTCCTCCTTGAACTGCTGCCGGAAGCGCGAGGTATCCGGCGCAGTTGCATAGATCTCGAAGTGCTTCACACAGGCCCGATCGCTGGTCTCCCACGTCAGCTCGATGCTTGTCTCCGAAGCCACAACGGAGGTCAAATTGGTTTTTGGATCTGCGAAATGAAGGCAAATGTTAACACAGTCGAACTTATTTAATTATTACTATTATTTAATTATTATTCTTTATTTATTAATTATTATTTAATTATAGATCTTTATTATACCCATGCATTTGTTATAACAGTTTTATATACATGGATTTTTATTTGAATATTCTTTTCATGGAACTCATTTTCTATGGGCTTTGAATATCTAAAGACTCACCCTTGTAATCTGTGTAGGCAACTACGATTTGGTCAAAGGGCGTGGCGCCTAGAGCCGTACTCCTCAGCGTTACGACGGTTGTATAGCTCGTGCAGGGTTCCAGATTTTCACTAGATAAACGTAAACAAAATGTGTTAGATTAAATATAATTCGACTGAATTGTGAATCTTATCTAGATATTACCAGACAAGTTGCTCTGCGCCTAGGCTCGTTGAGGCGCTGCCCGCGGGACACGTGACATTCTCAATTACGTATTTATCCTTATCCTCGGCGCTAACGCTAAAGCTGAGCGTATACGGCGTACTTATCACAGTTACCTGAACTATTAACGTCAAAAATATGAAAGTAAACAAGGTTGTTTGCGGTATTAATGTGTTAAGCTAAAGCTTAAGCTGATTGGCTCAAGGTCGACGTTGTTTAACTTTTACAATAACAATAACAATAATAATAGTTAATTGGTTGTTCCAAAAACGTATCGCCTCTATCATCAGCACAGTTTACTTTGGCCGACGCCTTATCAGTCGTTCAAAGCTTAAACTCATTGCGAATTACAAACGAAATTGCCAATTCCTTAGCAGGCATACCAACTACTTAGCTAGTGTCTTGTTTTTCGATTAGAACTCACCCTCATTTAGTTCCTGTTCAGTGAGCGCTGTGCTGGTTTGCGCCTGCGCCTGTGACCAGGCCAACAGCAATAACGGCACACTGAGCAGTCCATAGAGCCGTGTCCTTGGCTTCCCGTGTCTCTGGTGCCGCATCTTAGGTCCACATTGCCAGCAGTTGCTGTGTGCGAGTTACGAGTACGAAAATCGGAAGTTAAAATCAAGTTCAATGTCAGCTCAACAAATGCAACTGGTTTTTAATTGCATCTCCAAAAAAAAAAATTGAAAAACAAAATAAAAATCAAAATATTAACGTATCGAAAGTATTAACCCCGCCATATAAGAAAGCAGCTCGCTTAAGTGCAATGCGCACATTAATAAAGTTTAGGCGTGAATCAATAAAAAACGAAAACAACAACAACAACAACAACAATCAATTTATATATACATATACACAGAATATCATGAGTGATACGTGATTTACAAGTTTCGGGCAGCTGAACTTATTGCGCTGAGCGCAAGTGTCAATAATACAAACAACATTAATTATAATAACAAAGGAAATAATTACACAATTACGCTCAGCATTTGACCCGAAGAGCGCGAGAGGGGGACAGAAATATAACTAAAACCGAAGGCATTTACGAATAAATATCTCGAATATTACTCATAACTAGCTCTACACCTTAACCCATCGATGCGCTGCGCTCTCTTTATACCCTGCACCCATTAAAAATGAATATAAGGGTATATTGTATTTGCGCAAAATCCAATTGTATGTAACAGGAGGAAGCAGAAGGAAGCATCTCCGACCCCATAAAGTATATATATATTCTTGATCAGCACCAATAGCCGAGTCGATCTAGCCATGTCCGTCCGTCCGTCTGTCCGTAGGTAGGTAGGTGTAGGTGCTCCTAGTGCCTGCGCAGATCGAGTTTGTTTCCGATAATCGATAACTTACATCGTTTTCAAGCAATCGATAAAAATCGAAGTCGATATCCTATTTTGGTCAGTTTTGGTAAATAATAAGAGCTCAAGTCACCAAACTTGACATATAGCTTCTAAAATAGAATATATATATGATGTTGGAAGAAGAGGGTGCAGGGTATCGCCTAGTCGGGAGCTCGCGACTAGAACCTCTTACTTGTTATTCCCTTGTATAGAGGGTTTTACAATTTATCTATAAAATTTGTAACGCACAGCAGAAGACTTCTTCGATCACATAGCGTATATATTTTTTCTAGATCAGCCGAGTTGAGTTGTCCATCTGCCTGCCAAAATCGTATCATTATCGTTTTACTTTAGCATATAGTTGCCATAGGAACGATAGGTCGAAAGTCAGGTTCTTGTATGAAAAACTTTTTTGTTTCTCAAGATATCTTAACGGGATTAATTCACTCTGCTCCTTTTAAATTCAAAATGTTATCAGCAACGGATTACTATATCATATAGCTATCATATAGAAATGATCGCTCGAAAAATAGATTCTTTTAATGCAAGATATTTTCAACAAATTAGTCTCACATAGCTGCAAAATCGTAAGGAAAATATCTACAAGGGTATTAAAGCTTTCTCGTTAAGTTTTTTATATACATTTTATATTTTTATAATTTTTATGTTTAAAGAAGATCGAGTAGATCTTAGGAGGCGTCTTCCAAATAAAAACAAATGAAAATCTGGTAAAAAACAGTTAGAATAAAGTATGCAATTGCTTAAAGTGGGCGAAAGAAAGCAAATGCTTGCCATTTATTTTTGATTAAACCTCAAATCATATTTCATCTGTAAGAAGGTTTCGTTTCAAGAGACTGTATTACCCCAAAATCGATAAATATCGATATGGATTACCCGAAATTTTATCACTTATCGCAGATTAAACAAGCTAAGAACTAGAAAACTTGGTGTTTGGGGTAGGAAAATATAATTTCGACGGTTTTTGAATTGTGTACAGAAGAAGATTTAGTCGTCTACGCTCAACTACGGCAGTCTGACTTGTCTTTAGTCTAGAGCCAAATGATTGGAGCGTATTATTTTCACAGAATAGAAACCTTCTCTTAAGTTTCGTACGTTCTAAAATGGGAAATACTCCAAATACCTTCAACATGAGACTTAAATGTCGTGAGCTCTTATACGATCTCTTCAAATGTAAACGTAATATTACTTTTGTGTAAAGATAAATGTGGTATGCTAGTAAAATGTAAAAAAAATTTAACTTTAGTCATATTTGTTATACCCTGAACCCATTAAAAATGGGTATAAGGGTATATTGTATTTGTGCAAAATCCAAATGTATGTAACAGGCAGAAGAAAGCATCTCCGACCCCATAAAGTATATATATTCTTGATCAGCATCAAAAGCCGAGTCGATCTAGCCATGTCCGTCTGTCTGTCTGTCCGTCTGTCCGTAGGTAGGTAGGTGTAGGTACTCCGAGTGCCTGCGCAGATCGAGTTTGTTTCCGATAATCGATAACTTACTCCATTTCCAAGCAATCGATAACAATCGATATCGATAAACTGTTTTTTGGGCAGTTTTGGTAAGTAACAAGAGCTAGAGTTACCAAACTTGTCATATAGCTTCTAAAATAGAATACATATATGCATTGGATGTTGGAAGAAGAGGGTTCAGGGTATCCCCTAGTTGGGAGCTCCCGACTAGTACCTCTTGCTTGTTTTAATTTTAAATTGTTTTATTTTTCTGCACGTTTTAAACGTTGCTTGAAATGGAGATTTCTGAACTCATTTGAAATTTAGTTACAAAACGTTTGCCAACTAAAGCATGCACCTATATACATTTATGAGTACGGAGGAAGGGGGAAGGAAGACAGGAGGAGGGGGCACAACAAAAAATCGGATCAAAGTACATGACACAAAATGACTCAAGTTCTTTGACAAAGCCTCGCAGGCAGAGTTTTATTGTGTAATTGAGAGCTTCTGCGCGGATTGGCATTGAGCAAAAGTCGAATTTGCGATTATGAAAAATGAAAACAAAAAAAAAATACATTCTCTATGCACTGCACACTTGAGCAATGTCAAGTCCAGAGGATTGGGTTTGGGTAAGGGCTTATCAAGGCACTTAATGGACAATTCGAGTGAGTTGAGCGAAGCGCGTGAAAACCAAAACTCTGACAGACGCAATACACAATTATTGGCGCAGATAACGATCTGAACAACTTGAGATTTATAGCGAAAATCGAAGTGTATATTGTGGTTGAAACACGGCTGAGACGAGAGCTTCGGCTTTTGTTATCACGCAGCTGCTCAAGATTTTGTTGTTGCCTTTAAGCAATTCAGATATTTCAACATTATTGACTTGTGTGTGTGTGTGTGTGTGTATTTAATCAAAAAACTACAACGCTAATTACTAATTTCAGTAGCTCGAACGCCATGGCTGCCACTGCAGAGACATTTTAAAGCAAATAAAATTACATTTTTTTTCGATATTTATTAATAGCTCGGCGACATATTTTGTTATCTACTTGAAAAACTGTATGGCAGCGGCAGCAGCCGTTGAGACAATTTCCTATGCTTTTGCTTGTTTTGAACAAGTCGCGAATCACTCAATTTTTTTTTTTTTATTATTTACTTTTTGGCGTGCCCACAAATCATGCATGAAACAACAAATAAGCCAATAATAACAATTTAACGGTCATAGAAAGTAAACGCTGGAAGTGCTTGCGTATTTTATCATATCAACAATATATAATCAGAGCAGCTCCCTGATAACAATGTGCATATGCGGCCGCTGAAACATTGTCCACTGTGCGCCACAAATTGTTTCCCAATAATACACACACACACACGCACACGCACTCGCAGTAAGATGTGTGTAATTTGTTTAATACATTTATGGCTTGTATCAAGGATGTGCTTCCGTTACAAATCAAATTATCGATAGACAAACACAATGCAATTGGCAGCACTTTTGATTTCAATTTTGAAACCGTTATCGCAGTGGCATGTGTAACGCGACGGAGCGAGCAGGCTGCTGATTAGAATCGCGATGGCTTGATAACGCTGCCCGTCATAATTTGCGAATCATTTACATATTTTGGCAATTTGCTCATTAAATTGATTCGCCAATTGATGGAGACAAGTTCACAATGCGCACGCAGTAAACAAAAATTCGAAGCACTCACAATGCGGTATGAATAGATGAAATATTTTTTGGCTTAAATACGCGCGAGCGAATCGAATTGTTTGCAAAAATTGCACTTTAATATGCGCAACGATATCGTTACTCTTTTTAACGAATAACCGTTCCCGTTGAGTGTTAGACGACAACTGAGCGTAAAAATTAATAACACATGGCTGTATCATTGTGCTTATTACTGATAAGGAAGTTACTCCAACGGGGTGTATATGTGTGTGTAGGTTGAAGATAAAAACAATACATTGCAGTTCTGTCAAAGTTTATGCACATGCAGTGTTGTACAATGTCAACAGCATATTGTATATAACATATACTGTATTGACTTTTAAAAAGTAAAAGAAAATGCGCCAAACTGATTACAACAGCTGTTCCGTGCATTTTGTCCAGCCATCGATAGGTGCCGCCGCTAGCGAATATCGATAACAAAAATACACGTGACCCTGACGTGACTAGTGCTGGTAAACAACAACTTTTGCATCGATACGTTGAAAGCATCGAAAGATATTGGAAGCATTTCTCGCCGCGCTTGACTTCTGCGTAATTATTTCCCAATTGATAAAAACTAATATAATTAAAAAATTCATAAAAATAACAATTTGTGTAAGTATGCGCAGTGTGCCTTGAAAAACGTCAAATAATCGCAAGTGCACGCGTTGCAACGCATAATCAAAGTTGCTTTTCGCAAGTGTCGTTTACGCGACGGCAACGCAGCAGCGAAGTGTATGTAATGGGCAAATGGGAAAAAAAAAAGAAAAATTTGTCATATGTATGAACACTGGCAATGTGTTGGTGCGCGCTTATAAGAGAGAGAAACGAAAACCCCTTTTAAAACGCAATTGTTTTGTGGCAAATGTGCGTGTCTTACAAAACTATTTGGCCTTTTTCAATTTTGCATATTGCCACTTTTTTAAACGCTGCCGCAGAGACGCTGGCTGCGCTGCTCATTCAAGATGGCCGTCGTAACAGTTTTTATTTTTCGTCAGTGTCAGTGTTGTTGTTGTTATTGTGTTTGGTGTGTGTGTGTGTGCGTGTGCTTGTCAATATACATGTGTGTGTGTTTTTGTTATTGAAAAGCAAAGCGAACAAGCTAAAGTTATGCAAATAATGCTGCAAAGTGTAAACTGAACTAAAGTACAAATGTACACGAAACTTCAACCTAACATGCAATTGCAAAAACAAAAACAATTTCAAGTTCTTCCTCTTTGCTACAACAACCACCAAAGAGCGATGACACATCGTCCCCTGCGTCAGTTTTATATGTGCGCGCGTGTGTGTGTGTGTGTGTTTTTGCGCATGTATCCTCCTACGCCTCCTGTTACCCCTGCCCCTGACTGGGGAAATTGATCGATTTTTAGCCAGAACAAACGTAAGCAGCGAATTTCGATGCCTTCGCCTACACCCCAAGCGCCTCTAACAGCTTTTTCCATGGGCCAAAGTTAAAAAGCAAACCAGTTCTGCAAATGCAACTTGGTCGTGTCTCGGTAGAAATCTTGTTTTTATTTATTTTTTTTCTTTCTTTTTTACAGTTTTTCCGTTTTGGGCTGCTTTGGCATTGGCCATCGCACATACACTAAAATACAAAACACATGTGCTTGAATGTGGTATTTGGGCCCATATATAGTTGTAGAATTGTTAACAGCGCTCGCTGCAATTCCCAGAACGTGTGCAATTTGCTGAGCTAAGCTGGTTCTGCGGTCTGGAGTCGCCAAGTCTGAGACTGACTGTGCAAATTGTCCACAAATTGCTGCTGTAGAGCTGCTGCCATTATCTATTAGGTCTGTTTTCTGACACTCTTAGCGCTGTCTTTCTTGTCTGTCTACTCTTTCACTGTCCCACCTCGCTTTGTTTTCGTCACTTGTGTTATCTTCCAAATGCCTGTTCACGAGCTTTTACAGTGTTATTGTATGCAACGTAAGGTGTTTGTGTTTGTCCGACTTTCCCAGCTAAAGGTTATAATTAATGCAAATTGTCTTGTCTCACACATTTTGTTGGCAAGTGTAGTTCCTAATCAATACACGAAACTTTTACTTAATTTGCTGCATTGCCAAATTCTCAGCACTGTGTGGGCAAGCGTAATTAATTAAAACATTGCCAACACTGGCGAAGCGTGAGAAACACACGCAATTGGCAGCCAAGTGCAAGGTCTCTCTTAAACGTTTTTTTTTGCACACGCGCTCTTTGAAGAGAAGCGCACATTCCTGCATCCTTATGCATATGTATGTACATCAAACACCCACGCGAGCTCTTCGAACAGGTAATCGCTACATAAAAACTTACAGCTACATATGCATTGCGAATTTACAATTCAAATTGGAATATGCATTTGTGTAGTTATGTCTGTGTGTGTTAGGGCATATATTATTTTGTGTTGCTGTCAGCGCGATGGTAACCCTTTATTTTCGCAGCGTCAGTGGACGCCTTTCAAATCTTGTACAGCGTGTGATCCAAACGCCCCCTTGTAGCTGTATTTATTGTTGATTTTTTTTTTTTTTGCTATTGCTGTGGAACACCGTTACTAGCTCGACCCACACAGTTACATAGCTGGAAGTTACAAGGCGCATGCCTGTGTATTGGAATGCTGGCCCCAATAAGAACCAAACGTACGCCTGGTTGCCACAACACAACGGTTGTTGACGGTGTCCGGCATTAAGCGCCTACTGGCCTCCCGCTCCTATACAACCTATCAACCCACACGCGTTCCGTTAATACTCGTGACGTTAGCGTTGTCTATTTTCTTATTTTGTATATTGATTATATTTTATATTTAGATGCGCAGTTAATGGGCGCATGGTGTCTTGGTTTTGCCACAGTTCCTCCGCGAGAGAATGTCCCAACAGCTGATTAAGGCTGTCTTTGCTCTCGCACTGCGCTCCAAGCGCGTGACTCATGTCTAGTTTCAATGCCGACGTCGCCGCAAAAAAAAAAGAAGCAAATTTCAACGCTTGAACTCGTTTGGTCAGTTTTCATTAAATTGTGTATCGCCCTGTGTTCAGCAGCTAGTCCAAAAATCGTTAAATATTATTTGTCGATGGTTAAGCGACCAAAAATAAACTGAAAACGTCATTTCCTCGATTCGAGTTCATGTGCATGTATACATATATATGTGTGTGTGTGTGTGTCTGTGTAGTCTAAGCTTGGACTTTGTTGTGCGTCTCTCTTTCGTTTTGCGTTATTTACTTATAAGAAGTTGCTTGAACTACCGTTAGATCTTGCTAATTGGCTTTGTCAGCGCTGCTTGTAACTTTGCTATAGTTGGCAACGTGGTACACACACACACACACAAATGTGTCGTCAAATGCTTATCTAGAAAGAAAACAAAAACGCGTTATGCTTTCGTTGATTTTTCGCTTAGATTCGTTTAGTTTTATGTCGTTTTATTGCGTGATACCTGCGTTTTGTTTTATTTGTATTGCCTGTTGCTTATGCTGCTCTTCCTATTGCTGACCACCTTGAGTTAATTGAATTGCTCTTGCCATAACCAACAACAAGTACCACATGGCTTGCTATTTAAAGTAACTTGACTATTGCATTGGCAAATTCGAGCAGTTATATCGATGTGTCAATTATAGGCAGAGTTGCATTTGAGCAAACACAAAGTTCAAAACATGGAAGTCATTGCGAATAGTTGCTGCAACCTGATTGGCCCACCGGCTGAGCTTTAAGTTTTGCAGACAATGCGCGCTTTAATGGCGGCCAGACGAACCGAAAATTTCGGTGTGCCAGAAACACACAAACGAAACAATTTCGGAGGCTGAAGATGTTGATAATTATGTTGTTGATCATCATGCTACACGCTGCGAAACAATGAAAGGAGAGATGGCATAGGGACGTAGCCGGAGGGAAGTAGTAGTAGATTAATGAGTATGCATACCAAAAAGGCGGCGTATTGAGGCAAGCTTGCCAAAAAAAAAAAAGTCGAGAGTGTGTCTATTTAGTTGCCCAACTAGCAGATACCCTGTAGCAGCTCCGGACTTTCGCGAGTGTTTGTGCTACACGAGCATCTACATACCATATTTTGTATCTCAGACCATTTTTTATTTATTTTATTCAAAAACTGTCTCAAAAATCTTTAATTACGTATTTTGGAAAAAACGAGGATCTATTGCTAAGAAACCTGCTCTGTGTGTGTCATTGAAAAATCTATGCTCTAAATGTTCAAACTACCTTATATGGTCGCCAGATCGACTTGGCTATTGTTGGTGCTTAAGGATATATACAGTACTTTTTAAAGCCGAAGTTAAATCCTGCCTGCTGCGTGTTATATATATTCGCGTTAGCGCAACATACGCTTTTTTATATCCATTTTGCAATGGGTACAGGGTATAATTATGTGGGTGACTTGCCCCTTTGCGAAACTTGCCTTTTCATTTTGTGAAACTAATTTCCTGTTCAGTCATTCATTTATAATACTCGAGCGTTTGTCTTGATGCATGTTTCTTCTCTTATTTCTCTGCAGCATTGCACAAGCAGGCAGCAACAAATCGAGGCAAACAGCAAAAGAATTGAAGCTCGCCGAAACCGAAGAACAGCATGAAAATGGTGTTGTCGCAGCGGCAGCGCGAGGAGCTGTAAGTAACCATCAACATCATCATAAAACCAGTCTAACTAAATCATTTCGAATTTTCTATGTGTTTTATTTGGTGTGCTGCGCTGCAGTAACCAAGCGATTGCCGATTATTTGGGCTCAAATGGCTATGCCGACTCATTGGAGGCCTTTCGCAAGGAGGCCGATCTCAGCACAGAAGCGGAAAAGAAGTTTGGCGGCCTTTTAGAAAAGAAATGGACATCGGTCATACGGCTGCAAAAGAAGGTCATGGAATTAGAGGCTAAGCTAACGGAAGCTGAAAAGGAGGTTATCGAGGGTGCGCCCACAAAGAACAAACGTACGCCAGGTGAATGGATACCCAGGCCGCCAGAGAAATACTCACTAACAGGACATCGTGCCAGCATAACGAGGGTTAGTTTTTGCATTTAAATTCACCGATACAGCATTAAATGGATTATTGTTGTTATTGTAGGTTATATTTCATCCAATATTCGGACTAATGGTTTCTGCTTCGGAAGATGCCACCATTAAGATATGGGATTTCGAAACTGGCGAATATGAGCGTAGTCTGAAGGGACACACAGACTCTGTGCAGGATGTGGCATTCGATGCGCAGGGCAAGCTTTTAGGTAATGCCAGCAGCTAGCAATCGAGGCCCTTGGTTTTTAAACTCCTAACTTTGTGTCCCTTACAGCCTCCTGCAGTGCTGATTTGTCCATTAAACTGTGGGACTTCCAACAGAGTTACGAGTGTGTTAAAACCATGCACGGTCACGATCACAATGTGTCCTCGGTGGCCTTTGTGCCCGCCGGAGACTATGTGCTATCCGCATCACGTGATCGCACTATCAAAATGTGGGAGGTGGCCACGGGGTGAGTTTTCAACAGAAATTTGCAGTGCGTCAAAATAATTCTAATTGTTCATAATTTTCATGTCCAGCTACTGCGTTAAAACCTACACCGGCCATCGGGAGTGGGTGCGAATGGTGCGCGTGCACATTGAAGGCAGCATCTTTGCCACATGCTCAAATGATCACACAATACGCGTTTGGTTGACGAATTCAAAAGACTGCAAGGTAAGCTAGCAAGCAGACAACGGATAGAATCCTTATACATAAGCATGGTCAGGGAATCGGATAGAAGCCATGCAACTTCGGGCCAAGTGTATCTCTAAGGCTTCCCGTACATGGCATAATTTGTGGCCTTAAATTAAATATATCACAATTAAACATTTTGTTATATTCTGCAGGTTGAATTACGTGATCATGAGCATACGGTGGAATGCATTGCCTGGGCGCCCGAGGCGGCAGCATCAGCAATAAATGAGGCAGCCGGCGCTGACAACAAGAAGGGTCACCATCAGGGACCATTCCTGGCATCGGGTTCACGTGACAAAACCATACGCATTTGGGATGTGAGCGTTGGACAGTGCCTGCTCACATTGAACGGGCACGACAATTGGGTACGGGGCTTGGCATTCCATCCGGGTGGCAAATATTTGGTATCAGCCAGTGATGACAAGACCATTCGAGTCTGGGATTTGCGCAACAAGCGATGCATGAAGACGCTCTATGCGCATCAGCATTTCTGCACATCAATTGGTGGGTGCAAAATAAGCCACATATCAAGTTTATAGTTTGTTCTTAACACATTTTCTTCTTTTTCTTTTTTTAGATTTTCACAAAGCGCATCCGTATGTCATTTCCGGCAGCGTAGATCAAACAGTTAAAGTTTGGGAATGTCGTTAGGAACTCGGCAAAAGATTTGCTTATTTCTCAATTTAAACATAATTAATAAAGCTACAATATTTATATATATAGATATATATATATGTATGCATATATATATATTTGAGTATGCAAAACAGCACACAGTCTCAGCCACCTTTACCAGATGCATCAATGCAAACTTCAATTGTATATTTCAAAATATATCTATATATATATGTATGTGTATGTGTATGTATACATATGATGTATGTCTAAAGTTAAAACCGAGCAAGCAGCAATTAGATGAAAAAAAAAAACTAAACAGCGAAAGAAACGAAATATTTATTTAATGTACGGCCTCCTAACCAACTAACCTACCTACCTACCAACTATACAAAGTACATGCATATTTATATATATATACCTTTAAATATACATACGATTACTGTTAATTTAAATGCTGTGTAGACCCACGCCTCAAAAAATATAAAAAAGAACACATAAGAAAAAAAAAAACAAACAAACAAATCGATAAGAAAACAAACGCCCACAAAGCACGCTCGCTAGCCGACAAAAACTTAAGATCTGTAGTTGAATTTTCGTAGTTTTCTTGTGAGTGTGGAAAACCAATTTGAAAAACGATATATTATAAAAATACGCATACACAAAAAACAATTGTACGACGAAAAATGTCTTTGTCAAAATCCAAATGTTGCAATGTCACTCAACGCAGTCTTTATAGACCACATAGCGAAAATACGATATTATATGATGTTGTCGTCTCTGAATTTTGTTGCATATAAGCGCATAAGAATATAGATAAATATATGCCACACCCTCGCGCAATATAAGAACAGATAAATCAACGACAACAACAAAAGCAGCAACAAACAAAAGTATTTTTTCCTTCTACTAAATATACTATTATTAAACGCAGAGCGAACGATTTCTAATGGAAGGCAAATTTGTTATTAATTACTTGAAATTTTACTTACATGAAATTGAGGTAATTTTTGTCTAAATGAATAACAAATCAAGAACGCTTTTTACAAACATTTATGAATACAGCTTGGACGTTTTGAGTTCTTTTTTGCTAAAGGATCTAAACAAAACCACAAACAACAAACAATACAAATAAAACTATATAAAATGTGTACAAGTTTAAGTTTGCTTTAAGTTCAAAAATATAATTTACTTTAGTGAAAATGCTGCAAATTTAATTTTAATTTAATTGTTCATAAGTGCAAAGGCAAAATATAGTAGTATATATGTATACATTATTAAATATTTGTGGAACATTGCAAATTTCGTATAGACAACACACAAATATGCAGAAATTAAGAAGCAGAACCGGATTATGGATTTAAACAAGCAAAAGAAAACAAAAAACATTTGTAAACAATAAAATTTGCTTCTTCAAGAAACAGAAAAACAACAAAATCAACAGTTGATGACATTTTAAATGCTCTGTACCCAGAGCATGGATATGCAAATGCTAAATAATATTGATATTTCGTCAGATCCAACCATGAATTGAGTGTTACGTTTGTTTGCGAGAACTGGGTACAGGGTATTGCATAGTCGAACTCAGTCGATTATAGACTACTCTCGTATTTGAAGCACCTATTTTTTAGCATAAGTTATGGGAATTACAATTAAACAAAAACACAAAAAACGAAACGCTTCTCTTATCACCAAAGCTGCTTTAAAATGTTGGCCTATTATCACGATAAACCACACATGCAATCGATAATTAGCCAATTATTACATTAATGGCAGTTTTATCGCTGGTTAATATACATTGATATATATATACATATATATACATAACATGAATAAATCCACAAATTTGTTTCACTTATAAACCATAAGCTATATTTGTTTAAATATGCATACAAAGCAATTAAATTAGGTCAATTCTCTGGCTGGGAGGCTTCGGTTTCTGATGCAGCCTCTGGTTTAGGAGCAGCAGTTGCAACTGCTTCCATTTCATGCGTTTCAGGAGCTGCAGTCGCAACTGTTTCCATTTCTTGCGTTTCAGGAGCTGCAGTCGCAGCTGTTTCCGCTTCTTTCACTTTAGCAGCCGCTTCCATTTCTGCGTTGGGTTTTGCAACTGGCGCGCCCGCTGGCTCCGCAGCCATGTCTTCTGTTGGTTGTGTAACGCTCGCCACTTCCTTGTCTTCTGCCGGCAACTCCTCAGCTGCAGTACCCACATCAGCTTCGGCTTCTGAAGCACTTCCACTGGACTCACTGTCTGGCTTTTTGTCTTCGTTTGGTTTCTGTTCGCGTAGACGTTTTGCCCGTTGTTTTTTCTTCAAGCGCTTTGCGCGTTTTTTTGCCGTACGCTCCTCGGCAGCTCGTTTGTTATTATCCAATTTCTGTTGATACGCATCATCAGCAGCTTCGCGTAGGCTTTGGTTTTGTATATTCTTTTGGCGTGCATATTCTTTGCGTCGCAGATGGCGATAGACATGAAATTCGCCGGAACCCGCTCCAGCGCTGCTGCCCATCACATTGCGCACAAATGTGGGCACCGAAGACATGTAGTCACGCTCACGGCGCTGCTCTGGTATAATAACTGGCTTTTCCTGTCAATATTAACTTAATTAGCTATTGTTTACAGTGAGCGACAATTAAACTTACGGGATTTTTCATAAGTTTTTCCAGCTTTAATCTTTGTAGATCTGTAGCCGTTTTAATAAACGGCCCCAATGGCTTGTCTTTTTCCCCAGAATCGCTGTCGTCGGATCCCGCATTCTTTTTCTTCTTTCGAGGCTTGTTTTCCGTTTCTTTAACTAAATTTTTAATCAGCGACATGTTTGTTGACAACAAATTCAGTGTGACTATTCGCGTGTTGGCGTTGAATGGTGATTGGTCATTGTGTGTGGCCGCAAGAATACCAAAAATACCAGTCTCTTATTTTCGGCGAAGAAAGTATATTTTATCTCTGGCTTGGCTTGGTCACACTGACGAGTTCCAGCCGAAAACAACGCGTTAATTTCTAAATTAACGACTCGAAATCGTAACTCGTGCTGTTCTAATGCTAGCGTAGCCAAAGAAATAATTGTCATATGTTTACAAATAGCCACCCGGACAATAAATCCCCGTTTATATTAGATATTCTAGTTAAAAATCAAAATCACGTACGCGCAATCGGTTTGAGCGCAGTGAGCAGAGCAGAGAGCAAGCAAGTAAGCAGCAGTCGCCAGAGCAGCGTAGAGTTGTGTAACACGGCAGCGTGAACGTGTAATAGAATTTGGATTTTGGGTTTGTGCGCTAAAACAGAAACAGCAGCATGGCGCTCGAGATTGATGCAAAAAATGCCGCGGCGACTGGCGATGCTGGTACCATTGGCAAGGCCAAAGCCAAGGAGAACAAGAACCACAACAACAACAACAACGCACCCGCAGCCGGCGAAAAGAACTTGGTCAATGGCAGCAGCGCCGCAACGAAGAAGAAAGGTGCGTTAACTATGACATTTTCGATCAAAGCACCTCAACCCCCTCTTCTAGCCCCTCTCCCTAATCACTTTTCTATGTGCTAATTGTGCGAATAAAACCAGCGAATGGCAATAACTGTCAAGTGCGATATTTGCGAGAAAAAATAGTCCATCACATAACATTTTTACGTTACGTAATGTATTTTTTTTCTATAATGCCTTAAATGCGGCCTGCCGTCTATTGCTGGGCACTATTGTCGTTGCCTCCCCAACGGGCAGAACCGCGTGCGTTTCAATTGCATTTGTATAAGTGGGAGTTACGTACTGCGTACATTGCGATGCGCGAGTATTTGTGTTCGTGCCTTTTTTTTTATACATAGCAACGCGCGATACACGCACACACTCATGTTTTTATGAAGAAATGTATGTATGTCGTTGCCCGATGTTCATTAACCCCCTGCAGCGGCGACAGCGACTGCGGCACCCAAAGATTTAAATGTTTCTTTAACCTACAATTACCACGTGCTTACCACTTAACGCATTCGCATGCAACAAACAAACTAAACTCTCTCAAGCATTAACACTTAAACGCATTTGAACGATAAATCGCCCTGTCAATTATGTAAATCATGTATTTTCTTCAAAATGCAAAATGCATCTACAGCAAACTGATCCCAAGCATAACTCTCAATGGCCTCTCTCCCTCTCACTCTCTCTCTCTCTCTCTCTCTCTCTCTCTGTGTCTGTCTTGTTTTTGCTTGGCTCTCAGCTCCTGTTCTCCATTTATTGGTTTGTTTACCAAATTTGATTTCGGTGTAATTTCTAACTGTGCTGTTGAAATTAGCGTGGCTCTGTGAAAAAAAGATGCCTGAAAATTGAGTTTAGTTTCGAGTTTAGCCGCTGCATTCGTGCAGTTCTGCCTTATCAGCGTGTGCTGTGAATCGTTTTGTTTGCTTTTCTCTTGTTTTGTTTTACAGCACTCGCATACACATGCATTCAGACACCATGTGTGTGTGTGTGTGCATGTGTGCGTAAGTTGCTATGTTATGTGCCTGGAGCCGGTTACAGTGAATGGCAAAAGTAAACGCTCACAAAGCCTTATTATTATATAACAAGTAAGTTAAGCGAGTTTAGGTCGTTCTGATTGCCCTCCAGCAAATTATTAGTAATTTATTTTATTTTCTACATAATGTTTGGGAATGGTTGCCCGCAGCAATAATTTCTTGACAATTCCAATTTTTTCAAGCACGCGTAATTAGCTGGCGTTTTACGCGCTTCACTGTGCACCGCTGCCCGTTTGATGCACATTTTTTTTTATTTAATTAAGAGCTGATTATTGCACATCGTATCAATAGATTTCATCATCCCATTTTATTAAACTGCCGCACATTGTGAACTGGAACCTCTAAATGTTTCAGAACCAGATCTCAGCTCATCTAAGTAGATTGTGCAAGCTAATGAAGTTTTTCAACAATTAGCTAATTAACATAAATGCATAATCTATGAACACGTAACTAGTTCATGAACTATGCTCGCTGGGAAACCCCCCCACTGAAAGCATGAACAATTGTTGATACTCAAACAAGTTGCCGCCCTTGACCACAATTTGAATAACAATTGTTATTTCATGTTTCGTAATATTTGCAGGCAAGAAAAATCGTAACAAAAGCCCGCCTCAAAATGCAGTCGAAGCTGAAGCTAGCGCCGCTCTAAGCAATGGCCATTCGGAGAATGGCGATGCCGCCGATGCCAATGCAAATGTGCTGGCCGAGAAGGGCGAGGGTGTCGCTGCCGGCGCTGTCGTGGGGGATGGAGCCGAGGGTGGTGCTTCTGCTGAGGGAGCTGTGGCTGAGGGCGATGCAGCTGCTGCCGGAGAAGATGTTGATTTGGATGCTTTGCACGATATTGGCATAACGGTTAACATCAGTAGCCCCGGAACAGATGTGCTATCCGTGCAGCTGTCCAGCATGGAGCTAGTGCAGGAGATACATCAGCTGCTCATGGATCGCGAGGAGACATGCCACAGAACATGCTTCTCACTGCAGCTGGACAACGTGACGCTTGACAATTTTGCTGAACTTAAGACGATTGAGTCGCTGGAGCAGGGCTCCACCATACGCGTCGTCGAGGAGCCGTACACAATGCGTGAGGCACGCATTCATGTGCGCCATGTGCGCGACCTACTCAAGAATCTGGATCCGGCCGATGCCTACAATGGCATCGATTGCACCTCGTTAACCTATTTGAATACCATAACACAGGGCGATCTGCTGGACAAGAAGCGGACACGTCCGGACTCTGTTGATTGCACACCGCCCGACTATGTGACGCCTGGTGTGCGTGAGCCGCCTCTGTTGCCGCTGCATCCAAATATTAAAAATGCGAAGGGACCACAGGCGCTCAAGGTGTTGACCACATCGGCATGGAATCCGCCGCCCGGTCCACGCAAGTTACATGGTGATCTGATGTATCTGTATGTGGTCACCATGGAGGATAAACGCTTTCACATCTCTGCCTGCTCCAAGGGCTTCTACATTAATCAATCCACAGACGAATGCTTCAATCCAAAGCCGGACAATCCCAGCCATTTAAGTCATTCGCTTATTGATCTACTCTCGCACATCTCACCGTCGTTCCGACGCGCCTTTCAGGCCATACAAAAGCGTCGCACCATGCGCCATGCATTTGAGCGCGTGGCGACTCCTTACCAGGTGTACCAATGGGCTGCGCCTCAACTGGAGCACACCGTGGATGCCATACGTGCCGAAGATGCCTTTAGCTCCAAGCTGGGGTAAGTCGATGAGAGCGTGCCAAATTGGATTTCATATAAACAATTCTTGTTCATGTCACAGCTACGAGGAGCATATACCCGGTCAGACGCGCGACTGGAACGAGGAGCTGCAGACGACCCGGGAACTGCCACGCAAGACACTGCCAGAGCGCTTGCTGCGCGAGCGCGCCATCTTTAAGGTCCACGGGGACTTTGTGACGGCCGCAACGCGCGGCGCCATGGCTGTCATTGATGGCAATGTGTTGGCCATTAATCCCGGCGAGGATGCCAAAATGCAAATGTTCATTTGGAATAACATATTCTTCTCGCTGGGCTTCGATGTGCGCGATCATTACAAGGAACTGGGTGGCGATCACGCCGCATTTGTGGCGCCACGCTATGATTTGCATGGCGTGCGTGTCTACAATGCGGTGGATATCGAGGGTCTCTACACGCTGGGCACCGTTGTCATTGACTATCGTGGCTATCGTGTGACCGCCCAGTCCATCATTCCCGGCATACTGGAACGGGAGCAGGAGCAGTCCGTTGTCTATGGCTCCATTGACTTTGGCAAGACGGTGCTCAGTCATCCCAAGTATCTGGAGCTTCTGCGTCAGGCCGGCAAGCACTTGAAGATCCTGCCGCATTCGGTGCTCAATGAACGTGATGAGCCTGTGGAGCTGTGCTCCTCGGTCGAGTGCAAGGGCATCATTGGTAACGATGGACGTCACTATATTCTGGATTTGCTGCGCACGTTTCCACCGGATGTGAATTTCCTCAAACTGCAGGATGTGCAACTTAGCAAGGAACTGACCGAAATGGGCTTTCCCATTGAACATCGCCATAAGCTGTGCTGTCTGCGCCAGGAACTGCTCGAGGCCTTTATTGAGGATCGCTATGTGACTTTCATACGCATTGCTGCAGTGCATCTGCAGCAGCTGAATGCCAAAAAACAGGCGGCGACAGCAAATGCCGAAAAGGAGCTGCCCGCCATTGCTGAAAAGCAGGAGGAGCCCAACGAGGAGCAGCCAGAAAAGACCGAAGAGCAGCCGGCAGAGAAAGAAGAATCTAAGCCCACTCCCAGCGAGACAAAGAGCGCTGAGGCCATGGTGAATGCCATACGCGAGGCCCAATCGAATGTGGCCGTCTCCAATGAGGTGCAGGCCGCTGAGGTGGTTAAACGCGCCTGTGCCGCTGTGGGCTCGCTCAAGGAGAAGGAGTTTGATTTCCGATTTAATCCAGATGTCTTCTCGCCCGGCATACGTCATGTTGATGGCCCCGACGGCGGCGTACAATCGCTGGCCAAGCAGAAGCGCCTCGTCCAGGATGCCGCTGAATTTCTGGTTCTTAAGCAAATACCCGCCTTCATCAAGGAACACATGGCTCACTCCTCACCGCCCATCGATGGCCAGAGTCTGACTGAATCGCTGCACAGTCACGGCATCAATGTGCGCTATCTGGGCAAGGTGATCAAAATGTTGGGCCAAATGCCACGCATGGACTATCTGCATCGCATTGCCATACTTGAGATAATTGTGCGTGCCACCAAGCACATCTACTACACATATATGCAGAGCACCGAGCCACTGCATCTGTCGGCGGCAATAAGTCATTTCCTTAATTGTCTGCTAACCACGGGACCGGTCAATCCCGCCGTCAGCAGCGACGAGCTGCAC